AAATTATTGTAAGACGTGGATGTAACGACTAACAAAAAATAAAGTTCTATGACTTTATTTAAATTAAAACTTTAATTTCCAACTTAAAGATTTTACGATTTAGCCTTGTAGCCTAATGCTGAATTTGGGGAAGCAATTCTAGTTCTATCTTATTTAAAATGCGAGAAAATTCCATAGATAATAAGTGGTCCTTTTATAATAAATTTCAATCATCAGAAGAATTTGTGCAGCAGTATCTTAAGTGTTCGAATCTTTTCTAAATACTGCAAAATTCACATTTGTGTTACATTACATATCATAGCAATTTAATAAATATCCATTAGAACTTTACGTTTCAGTGTTACAAAACGATAAATATAATATTTAGTTAGTTTAGTAAATTTACAATTAATAAAGGGAATTTCGAGTAAAAGTTTTTGTAACTTTTGTGTATATTATTTTGATTGCTAAGACGATTATATACAACAAATAACCAATGCCAACGAATAACAAAAGACTCTTAATGTCTTCGACTGATAATGCTTGAAATACAGACTCTTCATTAAATTCTTCAATTTCTTTTGGTAACAATTTCTGAACAATTCCCGCTTCGAACAAGCGATTTACTCTAGAAAGAAACGTCTATACGTATATAAATGTGAACGTAAATTGTTTTATATATTAATAATTGTAAATTTTTCTTACGTGTCGCTTATATTTTTCTTGAAAAGAAAATTTCTTCGGATTGGATAAGCAACAGTTAATGTACTTAGAGAATCTGTGGACATTATATATTTATTCTTTTCTAATTTACTGATGTACTGATTTATAACATATTGAGACGCTATGTATGCAAATCGTTCATTCTGTACTTTCTTCATGGCTTGTGACGGATTCATTAAGTTATTATTTGACAAAATGTGTTCTCTTAAAATTTTGGTATTTTCTGACTTCGATTCCTAGAAATAGTAATAATTTCTGTGTAAAACAGACGAATTATAAATAGGAAACTTGAATTTTTACCACACACTTACCTCAATAGCTTTCCATACATTTAATATTTTCATTGTTCCGCAAGAATACTCACCATTCCGAACAAAAGTGCCAAGTTCGTAAAAATTTTTAGGATACGATTCAATTAAAGGACATGCCAAAAAGGATTTTAACCCTCCGCTGTAACCATATAGCAAAACAACAATCGATAACCACCAAATTTCTATCATAAATCTAGAAGCAAACGTTTTTACGTTCCGTATATCTAATCCTAATTAATAGTTATTAATATTATAGAAAAATACATAAGTAATAAACACTATAACATAACTGATTTAATAAATTATACCTTGACCCAATAATGTGCAAAATAAATCCCAAAAAATTCGACAACGTGTCCAACGTTTTCTATTCTTCTCAACGATTAAGTCCTTTTTAAGAATTAAATGCAGGGACAGTCCAAATATTAATACAGTTGAGAATACAGCGATCCATATCTAATTACGTAAGTAATATAGTTTCAATTTGAATATAATATGAATTAAGATGTTACAGTGACTTACGTCCAAGGCAAAAGGCTTCATTAGAGAATTCCAATCAGAAGCTTTATTTGGAGCTCTAATGATAAAAATGTTCTCAGAAAGTCCAAGTGTGGACGAAAACTGTATCGCTGAAAAAAGATCGTAAGTGATCCCCGTTGGTACAAAAGCGATATCTGCTTCCTAAATTTATAAAATTCATTATAAAACACAAACTGTTAGTAAATTTACAATTAAATTTTAATATACTTTACAATATTGTTTGTAGCAATTTTAAGGGTTTATTGTCTGCAGACCAGAATGTTTCTTTTTGTTAATTTTTTGTATTATTGTAGAAATAAAAACGCACGAAGTGTACAATATATATGGGAACTTGTTTAAGTTGTATAAAAATAAATTTTCGATTTTTTAAAACGAAATTTTAACTAATAGCGACATGTTATAATTTGATTTATACATAAGTTATACATAATTTTATTTACAATTTCTTGGTAACATTTTAAAAAACACATGAATATTTTAGCGATAATCGATAAGTTTTACTACTTAATTGTTATGGCAGTAAATTATTTTTTGGTATAAAAATTACATAATTTGATAAACGCAATCGCTTCAAAAAATTGCTTTTTTCTGATTCTTTTTAGTAAAGGAGATCACATCCTAATTGTCTAATTGTTATAGTATTTTAAACATAACTTACTTGTATTTTGAGTTTACTCACCTGATTTACAACTTGTTTTGTAATTCCAGTCCACGTACCATTATATTTTGAATACCCTAGTTGAGTGGGAATCGGATACACTACACGATAACTAATTGAATTTTATACTTAGATATGTACATAAGATTTTTCAGCATAGGTATTAATAAGAATATAATTAATATAATAAGAATATACTGTATATATCTTTTACAAATACGAAAATTATTTATATAATATCTGAAATCAATAAAAAAATTTTAATATTACCGCATATTCTTACAATAGTGCAATGATTTCATTTTATGATGATCGATAACTCAGTAAAATACCCATATTTTTCGTACAAATCGGCAGTTATGCAACACGGTTTCGCCCTTACATTGTTTCAAAATTAAGAAAATTCTCCAGACGACATCATTTATGGTTTCTGTCTAACATAGTTTGCGAGTTTGAAAAATTTTTAGTTGAAAATTTCGCATGTTATAAATGGATCCTGTTTTCCAATTGTTTGGTATTTGCAAAATCACACGAAATACCTATATATTTGGAAATTTTTATATGATTTTTTTGTCAATTGCATAATGCTAACTAACAGTTTTGCATCTGTGGCAGCATACAAACGTCATTCATATTTGTCAATTTATAATGATCAAATTGTCTTACGCTTCGGTAATTATAATTTCCTATTTAATAAATTGTTCTATTTTTCCTTTATTATCTAACAATAGAAATTATCTGGGATTTAGAGAATTTCACGATCAATACAGAGAAATGGATTTTTCATTTCTTCTGGTTTATGAATTTTCATTATATTTAATATCGTATTTATCAGTTCTTAGATTATTATGGTTTTATATCTTCGAATTTTACATGTGCTAACCATATCTATACTTTTCTTCTAGGTTCGAATTTGTTCGTTTGTTTTTCTTTGCTTTTTGCCATATATAAATATTTTGTTTTCAATTTATTCATTCTGCATTTTAAACTTGAACTATTAGCTATTTCTGTTAAATCTTCGTTTATACTCAAATGTATTGTTTTCTCGTATTTTCGTTTTGTCAGTATATTTCCATCACTCGTATGAACTGTTACCTTCTTGCATACTGCACTTGTGTTTTCTGTACATTTGTCACAAAGACTATGTGAATTTTTTGTCTGTCAAATGCAACATTCATGCAAACATTAACTTCTATACCTTGTGTATTTCTTGTTACGATATATAGTCGATTGATATTTCTCATGCCAACTGTTACTACATATGCAGCAGTTGAGATACTCAAGCGATACAGCTGTGATTACTAGAAGCATGTCATGTATCAAAATATTTATGTTTAAAGTTTATTACAATAATACAATCAAATACGCAAAGATATATATTCAATTCTATTGTATTTGTTGATCGTCAATTATCTTTCTAAGTAATTTAGACTTTTTAATGCTTTAAAAAATTTGATCCAACTTTACTATAAAAAACCTTTCCTTTCATAAATAACATTGAAATCAATTACAAAGCGTAATAACTTTTAATTTTCAGACTAGAGCCACACTATTTTTTCTATGTTGTATTGTTTAAAATTTCATTAAACTCTTTAAAACCAACTATTATATAAAGAGAATTTTATAATGGTTTGCATAAATGATAAAAAAGTAGCGATCGATTTTCGAGTTGAGTACGTTTAGCAGAAATGATGGTTTTTAACTATTCTTTTCGCTAACAGTACATAACTCTTAAAACCCAAACGAAAGACAATTTTTGTTTTTAACTAAGATCACTTTTACTCTGCAACTCACCTAAATCTTAGTTTATCTTGATAAACTTGAAAAATCGGAAAAAACGTTCCACCTGTTATTTGTGTTTCGGTTTCATCATATTTCATGTACAGTACCTAGGACGCTGAGATAGAAGAAAGACGTTATGTATAAGCAATTATTTGATTATATAAGTTATACAGAAAATAAAATCTATTTATTTACATTGATTCCTGATATTTTCCAAACGTAGGAATGGTTAAAATCTCTTATTAAAAGTGTTTATCATTAATGAATTATAGTAATAAATTTTAAATACTATAATTTTGCTTCATTTGTAAACTCTATCAAATTGAAAACAAGTAAAATGGAATTATCTGAAAGTTTTACTTGCCGGAACAGCTTGTACAGAGATTATTACGGATTTCGTTTTAACACATTGCACTTTATTACAAACATTTGATGTCAGTTAAGCAAAAATTTTAAAAAAAGTATAAGAAAACGTATAAACTATAAATTTATATCGGCATTTTTATAAGAGAATGCCAATACTACAGACTAATGTTCAGGTCTACATACTACTGTTTCTTTTGAATAACACAAACACTAGCCATTTTGTTATATTTGTTTGCAAAAAATAAAATAAAATATTGATAAAATTAAATTTTTAAACTTTCAAACATAACTACAAATATTTTTAATATAATCGATTTATTATGGAATTATGATATTTTGCTGTAAAATCGGCACTACTACTTTACTTCAATTATTTGTGAAAACAAAATATATCCAATAGAAAAAATAATTGGATAATGAAAGGATGAAAAAGAAAATGGTAATATTCAGAAAAAATGGCAAAAGTATTTACAGATTGATTCAAAAACAGTGTAGAGAAACAGAAATTTTGTTACAAAGAAACAGATTGAGAAAGATTCAATTGCTGAAATGAAGTAATNTCAATCATCAGAATAATTTGTGCAGCAGTATCATAAGTGTTTGAATCTTTTGTGAATATTGCAAAAATCACATCTGTGTTTTAATAAATATTTATTAGAACAACTCTTAGTTGTATCGAGTATAATTATTGAAGTGTATAAACTTTTTGTTTCAGTGTTATAAAATGATAAATATTATATTAATACGTTAGTTAATAAATTTACAATTAATAAAGGGAATTTCGAGTAAAAGTTTTTGTAACTTTTGTGTATATTATTTCGATTGCTAAGACGATTATAGACAAGAAATATCCAATTCCCACGAATAACAAAAGACTCTTAATATCTTCGACTGATAATGCTTGGAATACAGACTCTTCATTCAATCCTTCAACTTCTGATGGTGCCAATTTATGAACAATTCCCGCTTCGAACAAGCGATTTACTCTAAAAAGAAATATTAGTACGTATACAAAAGTTAACGTAAATTGTTTTATATACTTAAACATTTGTCTTACGTGTTGCTTATATCCTTCTTGAAGGGAAAATTTCTTCGAATTGGAAAAGCAATAATTAATGTACTTAGAGAATCTGTAGACATTATATATTTATTTTTATCTAATTTACTGATGTGCTGATTTATAACATATTGAGACGCTATGTATGCAAATCGTTCATTCTGTACTTTCTTCATGGCTTCTGCCGGATTCATTAAGTTATTATTTGACAAAATGTTTTCTCTTAAAATTTTGGTATTTTCTGTCTTCGATTCCTAGAATTAGTCATAATTTCCGTGTAAAACAGACGAATTATGAATAGGAAACTTGAATTTTTACCACATACTTACCTCGATATCTTTCCATGCATTTAATCTTTTCGTTGATCCGCATGAATACTCACCATTGCGAACAAAAGTACCAAGTTCGTGAAAATTTCTAGGATACGGTTCAATTAAAGGACATGCCATAAAAGACATTAACCCTCCGCTGTAACCATATAGCAAAACAACAATCGATAACCACCAAATTCCTATCATAAATCTAGATGCAAACCTTTTTACACCATGTATATCTAATCCTAATTCGTATTAATGATATAAACATTAACATATTGTAACTAATAACCACTATAACATAACATAATTAATAAATTTTACCTTGACCCAATAATGTAGAAAATAAATCCTAAAAAATTCGACAAAGTGTCCAACGTTTTTTATTTTTCGCAACGATTAAGTCCTTTTTAACAATTATATGCAGGGACAGTCCAAATATTAATACAGTTGCAAATACAGCTATCCATAACTAATTACATAAATAATACAGTTTCAATTTGAATATAATATGAATTAAGATGTTACAGTAACTTACATCCAAGGCAAAAGGCTTCATTAGAGAATTCCAATCGGAAACCTTATTTGCAGGTCTAATAATAAAAATGTTTTCAGTAAATGCAAATGTGGACGTAAACTGCATCGCAGCAAAGAGATCGTAAGTCATACCCATTGGTACAAAAGATGCATCTGCTTCCTAAATTTATAAAATTCATTACAGTATAAAAGACAAACAGTTAGTAAATTTACAATTAAATTTTAATATACTTTACAATATTTTTTGTAGCAATTTTAAGGGTTTATGGTCTGCAGACCAGAAAATCTCTTTTTGTTTATTTTTTGTATTATTGTAGCTATAAAAACGCACGAACTGTACAATGTGTACGGGAACTTGTTTAAGTTGTAACAAAGTAAGTTTTCAATTTTTTTAAAACGAAATTTTAACTAATAGCGATATGTTATAATTTGATTTATACAGTACTTTAGCGATAAACGATAAGTTTTACTACTTAATTTTTATGGCAATAATTTAGTTTTTGGTATAAAAATTATTTACTTTAATAAACGGAATTGCTTTAAAAAATTGCTTTTTTCGATTCTTTTTAGTAAAGTTGATGTCCAATTTGTCCAATTGTTATAAAATTTTAAACGTAACTTACTTGTATTACGAGTTTACTCACCTGATTTATAACTTGTCCTGTAATTCCAGTCCACGTACCATTATATTTTGAATACCCTAATTGAGTGGGAATCGGATGCACTACACGATAACTAATTGAATTTTATAATTAGATATGTACATAAGTTTTNTCTAGAGATAAATTGTTGAGTAGGGTTACTCTTCCTTTAGGTGTAGGTGTATTTCTAAAATCTAATAATGCTTTTCACAAGTATTTATTATCGCATTAAGTTTTTTTCATTAGATTTTTTATTATTTTTACTGCCGTATTTACTTTTTCGATAGATCAGACTGTAATAGGGAGATGACAATATATGGTGAAATTCGCAAACTCTGGCAAACATTCAGAATTCATCACTAACAAACTGTCAGTCTTTTGTCACTGACTGGACTGTCAGGTATACCATGTCTGCTATATCGTTCTTTGCAACAATTATTTACTGTTGTAGAAGTCATGTAACTCAAACCATCGATTTAGAAAAGTCAGAGTATGAGTTTAACAATATGGGATGACTATTTGCTTTATAATTAAAAATGTCGATATTCACTCTACTCTATGGTCTTGATAGAATTTTGTGCGTATATCGTGAGTTCATTGTTTTGAACTGGAGCAAATGTTGAAGATATCTTGCTAATTTTGAAAATTTCAACTATATTAGCATTTATTTGTAGCCAAAATAAAGAATCTTTTTTTAAAGTATATATATGATTCTATTACTAGATGAATTAAGTGAATCTTTGAAAATATTTTTGGTTTCATTAATTGAGGAATCAATACTTCATATAAAAACTCAGGCCATCCATGCCAAAAATCATAGTTTTACGTTACTATTTAAAAATATTTTTTCTGGAAGGTAAATGAGAAAAACGAATGGAAAAATTCTTAAAAATATTCTTACGCTTCTACTCTAATGTTGAAAGGATAAGATTAATAATATAAAAGTTATTTTTAAAATAACATATCACAACAATTATGAAAGTTACGCAATTTATTTCTAGATTTTTTTAACTTTAATTTTATTTGCTACGTTCATACCTTTTACTTCGTAAATCGCTTGGAGTCATGTTAACTAGGTATAATGAATTTTAGCAGTAAAATATAAAATTCAAGAATACAGCTTTAAATAATTTTCTCAACCATTTAATGAAATGTTATTCTAAGAGCCCGATTCCCTTTATTGTACTACTAGTATTTCTAAATTTATAGTGTTTTATTGTTGTTATTTTTACTAGAGAACATAGATTGACCACATTAATAAATTATCTTTAACTGTTGTATTTTTTTGTATTTCTACATCGATATTTATTTCTCTTAGTACTCAGGTAAGAAAATTTTCTTCGTTTGTTTATTGTTTCGTTGATCTGTACACTGTTTGGCAGTTTTCTAATATTAATGTTATTTCGATCTTTTCATAATTGACCATTACACATTTAGAACGCTTTTTTTTAAAATCTTATGTCTTGTATTTGTATTTCGTTTCTGTTGTATTAACTTTTATGGTGACTATATTCAGGACTTCTTTGTACAGTCATGTCTAATAAGATCGTTCTTGCAAATTTCTTATAGTTGGGTAAGGTTTACTTATTTAAGTATAGCTCGGGATATCAATTTATTCGTTTACAATGATTAATTTATAATTTTTTTTGTCTAACTTTCCTTGATCAAGTAGTGTTTTCCAAGTTTACCCTCACTATTTCCTCGGAAGTGAGATATGCACAGACTGAAACTGCAATTTTTTTTGCTAAATAGGTCAAAGGAAATATTCTTATCTCTGAATATTTGTGAAAAATTGTTCAACTGACTTAACTGACTACACAAAGAAAAGTATGAAGTTTTATTGCATTTATTAATTTCCTATTAGTTTCTATCATTAAGTAATGTTGACATTTGAACAGTGGCGTACCTTAGTGGGGGCGGCAGGGGCAGCCCGCCCCGGGCGACACTTTTTAGGGGGCGGAAAAATTTCAGAATAAATAATAATAATATCTTGTAAAAATTTGAAACATCCTACTTTCTACTTGCATCCCACCTACGATAGTGCTATCGTCAGGATAGTCCGGGAATCAGCTCGCCGTCCGGGTGAAGTAGTAACTTTTTTTTTTATTTGCTTGTACGATTCATTTGCGTTCATGTTCACCACTAATATCCAATAGAACTATTTTAAACAGGTCGCTGCACTACCACCGAATTTTTCATTGCTTGTTCTGTGACAAAACTGAATTTTGGTCTTTTAAATTGAAATACCTAAATAAGGGGGCCGAAATTTTTTTCGCCCCGGGCGGCTGACACTCACGGTACGCCATTGCATTTGAATGCTCTAAATAATTTTTTTCGATCAGAAACTTTATGCGGTCAAGTGTTAAAGAATTCTATCATTGATTATTTGTTGTTACTCATGTTTAAAACGAAAATCAGAACGATAAAAGTAACAATAAAACCAGATTTTATATACTGTAAAAGATCTATGGTGAAATGCGAACTACTTAATATGAGATTGAAATGAAGAAGCCACTTACCTAAATTTTAGTTTTTCTTGGATAACCTTAAAAAGTGGAAATAACTTTCCACCTATTATTTGCCTTGTATTTCCATCATATGTAAAAACCATTGGGCTCTGAGAAACAAAAAATATAAGATTATTTATTAGCCATTAATTACTATTATAATTTTTATACAGTAACAGAATTTGTTTACCCCAAGTACAGCAACTTTCCAAACATATGAATCGTTGGACACTCCTATTTAAAATACTTATTATTACGAAACAATATTATTGTTAAATGCCGCAGAATTTTATTATATATAAGTTTTTATCTTCTAATCTATATGTATAACCGAGACAGGTTGATAATAATAATAATTAGTGCAGAGTCCATACTGTTAATAGTTGAAAGTTGAAATTTGTTACACAGTTTTCATGTTTTTACGTTTTTTATGTAAATAGCAAGGTTTTGATTTATGAATAAGAAAGTATATAATTCAACATCAATTCTATTGTAGTTAGTTAGAGCAACGACCTAGCTGTCAATCATTTTCACCTGGTTTAGCAATAGTCCTAAAGGTGCATACGAATTCGGTGGGATTCGTATAACAGTGCTTATTTGTTTGTTTGTTTAGTTTAGTTTAGCGCAAAATCTGAATTACATTAACATATAGTCTATTACAGAAGTGGTTAATCGTGAAATAACATATTTAACGTTTCTAAGTGAGATATCTGTTTGGAGTCTATGTTTTTTTCTTCTTGTTCTTTTGACAATATTGTTGTTGTTCTGTACAGCTGTATATTCCTAGTTGTCATTGTTCTCTTGCTTGCTTTTCCTACTGAAATGTTTCATGTCCTGATAGTGGTATGCTACGATCTTCTTCTGGGAGGAAAAGGTCAACGGAATATTTATCCGTACTTGCAGGTTTTATAAATTTAAGACTTTTTCTGTACTGTTTTTTCGTACACACTTTGTTCTGGAAACAACTGGTCATATAGAAATTACTATTTGCCAAAAACCATCATTTGGATTTAGTCTTACTAGCACATCCTGTCTTTCTACTACTTCAGGCAATGCTTTAGTTATTTTATCATAATAACACTTTGCTTTACTACGTTTTCTCATAATTTTTTTGTTACTTTGTCAACTACAAGAGAAATGAGTAGCGTTTTATCAATTGGTAGGTACTGTCTTTGTTCTTCTAGAGATAAATTGTTGAGTAGGGTTACTCTTCCTTTAGGTGTAGGTGTATTTCTAAAATCTAATAATGCTTTTCACAAGTATTTATTATCGCATTAAGTTTTTTTCATTAGATTTTTTATTATTTTTACTGCCGTATTTACTTTTTCGATAGATCAGACTGTAATAGGGAGATGACAATATATGGTGAAATTCGCAAACTCTGGCAAACATTCAGAATTTATCACTAACAAACTGTCAGTCTTTTGCCACTGACTGGACTGTCAGGTATACCATGTCTGCTATATCGTTCTTTGCAACAATTATTTACTGTTGTAGAAGTCATGTAACTCAAACCATCGATTTAGAAAAGTCAGAGTATGAGTTTAACAATATGGGATGAATATTTGCTTTATAATTAAAAATGTCGATATTCACTCTACTCTATGGTCTTGATAGAATTTTGTGCGTATATCGTGAGTTCATTGTTTTGAACTGGAGCAAATGTTGAAGATATCTTGCTAATTTTGAAAATTTCAACTATATTAGCATTTATTTGTAGCCAAAATAAAGAATCTTTTTTTAAAGTATATATATGATTCTATTACTAGATGAATTAAGTGAATCTTTGAAAATATTTTTGGTTTCATTAATTGAGGAATCAATACTTCATATAAAAACTCAGGCCATCCATGCCAAAAATCATAGTTTTACGTTATATTATTACGTTATAATATTATATATTATTAATATTACGTATAATATTAATTACTGGGCTATGTTAATTATTACACTGTATTAATTACTACAGTAAATTAAATACTAATAAAAGCTAATTTAATTATTTCAGGTATTTAATTAAAAACATTCATTTGGAATTAAACACAGATACATTAAAATATACATTAACTTACCTGTGCCAAACATGCAATTAATATGCATTGTTAACAACATCAGAATATTGATAAGTTTGAAATCCATTTGTATGATAATTTTAAACAATTAATAATAATAACTTCTAAACTCTATCTTACTTAACGTTATTAAAATTGGCATCTTTCAGCTGCCATACAAACTTACAGATACAAACTCGAGACTGTACAACAGATAATACTAATAAATTTAAATAAATCAGCGCAGTAAATATTTGTCGTGACAAAGATTATAATGAATCGAAACCAAACATGCAATTTCATTTCTATCGTGCTTAAACCAGAGAATACATCTATTCAAAATGTTGAAAAATACTATACTTTACGTAGCTTTTCTAACAGAATTAAATAAAGCTCAATAGTAGTGAATATAAAGGCATATAGAAATAAAGAATATAAAAATTGAATAAAATATAAAAGGGAAAAAACACACAAAGCCAAACAAAGGGTAAACTTTTGCATTATGAATACTTTTGTTTGCA